TTGCTTGCTTGCTTGCTTGCTTGCTTGCTTGCTTGCTTGCTTGCTTGCTTGCTGTTTTTTGTGGTTGGTTGTTGTTGTCCTTGTTGTTGATGTTGCTCTTGGTGTCTTACGAGCGCGCGAGCCCAAGAAACACCTTCTGTCTATATATACAGCATGTTCTTGCCGCGGGCCGGTGTGTCGGCAATGCTGCATGGGCCACCTGTGTGAAATGGGCCAGGTGCAGCAGTCGCAGGCTGTGGCTTCGCCATGCGTGGAAGTGGGTGGATCAATCAGGAGTCGCTGTGAGCATCGCCTTTCACGGAGACCATGCCATGGACCGGCGACGACCAGGATGACACCAAGGTCACGATATACGATGCTACAGCTGTGGAAGATCCGTCGAGAGATGAAGCAAGGGCAGGGAGGTGATGAATCGCTTGCGGCAAGCTTTGATGTATGCATTCCCCTCAGTGCACTGGACCCTGCAAGCTTGTCAAAAGGGCGACGGAACCATGGACACATTTTGAGGCAACATTTCATGGCAGCATCATGCAACTCATACCGCATGCAATTCCGAGCTTTTGAATGCTTTTGATCCACATGTGATGGCACCTGCCACCGGCCACCCTGCCGTGATTTGGCATTATTAGCACACAAGTCTGGAGACTCTCCAGCAGATCGTATCCGGCAACATATATATATATATAATATATATACCAGCACCCTCCAACAGGTGCTTCCTGGTGACAAGTTCGGTGCCCAGAAACCACCTGTTAGGGTCCAAACAGCTTGTTGGAGGGTCCATATGTTCACCCTGAGGGGCTGGACCTGCCTTTGGGGACGCCCGCCTACAGGAGCTCCTCCGAGTGAAGCCATGTTCGTGATCGCCTCCATCTACACGCTGCTCTTCACCGTGGAGCCGGGGAGAACCGAAAACTCACCGAGATCGATCGCAAACCCCTAGGGCTCCAACCATATCCTTAGAAGGTGGTTAGACCCCCAAAACCCACCCCAAGCACCTTCTCAGGAGGTGGGGAACCCAGACGCTTGAACCAGCACCCGACTTCACAGGTGGTTTTTGGACCTCGACTCACCTCTAAGAGGCTGTTGATCGACACCTCTTGGAGGGTCCTGGTATATATGGAAGACGAAGCCTACATTGAACCCCTGAAATAGTCTGTAACTATTCCATACACGAATTCCGCGTTTGGGAAAGGAATTCCGTTTGTTGAGAAACGGATTTTGTTGATCAGTTTCTTTCACTTCAGGGAGCCTTTTTTGAGGTACCTCACTACCTCAGTGACTTTTGAGCCGTGACAGAACCAAGTGAGGCATCAAAATATCCAAGCAATATGACAGATTATGCCTCACACAGCCAGGTCGCAGGTCTTAGAGAAGATCGTAAATCTGTTGTATCACGCTAAGTCACTCAGGCCTTGTGTTTTGTTCATTATTTGTTCCGTTGGGTGAAAGCGGCTTGACTCCACTAGAGCTTTCTGAGGATCAATCCTCTTTTCTTATTGATTCGATGCTTAAGAATGAATGGGAAGGAGCAGCCAGAAGCTGACAATTTCTCCTTCTGGGTCTGGTGGGAAGCCTCGCACGTCGTCGGGTTTCCGCACGCACGTCGGGTCTGCACGTGATGTCACGGCCTGGGGTCACCTGGAACAGTCAGTGAACCAAGTAGCATAGTCCCTAGGGATCCAAGTACCTTCTCAGGTACGGTGATTGGAGACACTGTTATGTAGGTTTGGAGTGTCCAAATACCTTCTGAGGAGGTACTTGGATCCCTAGGGACTATGTTTGAACAAGCCCTTTATTATAAGCATCATCATCCACATACAGGTAACTCTTCCAGTTCGGATGCTGGTCCTTCCGGGCTTTCAACGGGCCATCCACTGGATACACGTTGTGACTGGTCCACCTCGTGAAGCCTTCGTGTCAGCCACCTTCTCACCGTGAGACGGTGGCTGTGGATCCGGCTGATGAAGGTTCCAGGAGTCACAAAGCTCGGGGTGGTGGACTAGTCTCCTGAGTGGATGTTTTGCACCCCGAGCTCTGTGACTGCTGGTTCCCTGAGTTTCACAGTTCCAGAACCCTTGCTGCTAGTAGGCTGTGCACTGGTCAAGGCTCTATCCGGTTGCTCCGCATGCTCAGCATGCTCAGCATGTGTGAATGTGTGTGTGCGTGTGCGTTCACTCTGACATTCTTGACATAATGTGTTTTTGGACTTTGAAGGTACCAATGACCCGACCATTGACGGAAATGCTTCCAGATGTTCCACCTCCCCGCGTGCCTCATATTCGGGGTCGCCCATCACGTGCACCGCTTTGGAAGGAGCTTCTTTTGCGTCTGTTAGTGGGTGGCGTGCGTCCCTCGCATGCCACATGCGGTGAGAGTACAGCAAGTGTGGGGAGGTTTGATCGAGGGCGGCTAGTTCTCGCGGCGAAAAACACTCCTTTTGGGAATTCGTGTGGAATTCACCAACTGCCTAGCGTGTTGATCATCCAAATAGATGTATCGCCTCTACACAACTCGACCATCCAGGTCGGCTTGAACCTCGAAGCATCTTAACTGCGACCACAAGGTTAGGACCGCATGGCGCGGATTTGGCTCACGAAACAGCAACCATTTATAGTGGAGTGCAGTATTCCCAGAGTTTGAAATTTGGGTCAGATCGGATTGTATATCAGGCTGCTAGCTAGCAGTAGATTGAGTGCAATGGACAGTGGAGAGACAGTGTGGACTGTCAATCATCACCCTCTTACTATAGGGGCTCCTGGCCTTACTACTAGGCACAAGAAGCTACTAGGGGCTCCTGGCATCGCTACTAGGAGCAAGGACGCTACTAGTAGTGGCCGTACTACTAGGAGCAATAAAGCTACTAGGGGCTCCTGGTTGTAGATTTGCAACATCTACAAGGTTTGGAGCGAGGCAGTTCGACCGTGCGAAATCACATGCAGTTTCAAGGAGGATCCGATCCAGGCGCTGCAGGGAAAGGGTTTCCAATCTGAAGCGATGCTCCATGATGTTCCTAAAAGCTCGACCTGTAAAAACCCATGGATTGGTTCGACCTCCATGTGGAGCAGCTTGAAGAAGAGCGGTTTGGGTGGAACCTTGAAGAAGAGCAGCTCTTATCCTCATGGTCTATTCTCCTGTTAGGACCTCCAAAACTCGACTCGCTTCGGTGGTTGAGGTGGGGTGGTTTGGGGGGTTAGTCAACTATGTATAACTTTATACCTTCTATGTCTCTATGTGGGACAGGAGCCCCATCGAGTCCTCTCATTGGTTTCTCATCCAGGCTCGGCAAGGGTGTCCGACTCCTGTCCGATCCTGGGACACTGCCAAGCTTTGCCCTCTCCTGAGGTACATGTACCCAAGACTGGGCCTGGCTGGCACTAGATGCGACTGGGAAGGATTAATCTGACCCGAGTCCTGGTGTTGTGATTTCAGGAAAGAGCCGGCACCTGGTTAAGATTATGAGTTCTGACTTCAGGATTTGTTGAGCCTGTTGGAGTAAGATGATTGGCAAAAGCCTTCAGTCGCTTTTGTGGATGTCAGAATTACGGTTTCGCTGTTGGGCTCTAACCCAGTCCCAACCTGAAAGAAGTCTGCAGATGTTTCCTCAGTCCTAGCTTGTGGGTTTAGGAGGGAGCCACTTTGTAGCTGGGGCAGAACATACCTTTATAGACAGGGAGCCGTTCAGAGCCACACGGAGGGGTCGTAGAAAGGGGTCTGCACGCAAGCCGCAAGAGACCAGATGCGTGGACCCAACATACACGAAAAGATCATGCATGGTTCGATTTCACCTGTTGAATCGACGCGTTTTCACCATTTGAATCCAAAACGGTTTCCTAGGTCTATAATCCAATGCACAACAGGTGGCACGTGAAATCACATCCATCAACATCCGTAATAATGTATTCGGTCTGAGGGAAGACATTGGAGCACCAGTGCATTGACCTCCTTTGGAAGGAAGAACATGTAAGGCTCAGTCCTCCCTATACACCCTGTGCCTGAAGCTCCAGAACGATTCACGGATGTACTGGAATTCCTCACGAGACCTCATTGTGGCAATCCATTTTTGTTTGGGCGGCTCCACTGTATATGACACATCCACTCCGGCCCAGACCATTCATGAGACTGGAATATGTACCTACATTGACACTTCAAACATCTGAACATCACCCCTGGCCTGGCAAATCGTTGGTTGTGGGGGTCACGTTGTCTGTTTGTCTCGGCCACCCGACCGAGCCGCGCCGCTGACCTCTCGCCGCGAGCCGCGAGCCGCGATCGCGGCGATCAGATTTTGGTGGTCGCCTCCAGCCTTATGGAGTTCATCCTGGAAATCATCCTCCGTGGTGAGGAGACACGCGAGTCGTCTGTCGTCACAGGGATAAGTCGGGATAAGCGACACGCAGATCGACACGCGGATCTTCTTTGTATAGTATTGGACAGTCAGAACTTGCATGCTGTTACTAATACTGTTACTACTATCGACTGTCACCTGTGGCCACAAGAGTAAATACAATTATTTGAGAGGTTTCCTCGTTGAGGTTGTCCCTGGTCACCGACAAGAAGTGTTCGAGGGCCTGGTCACCGTTAGGGACATTGCCTCCTTTTCTCGCACTGAGAGACCCACACCGACATGTGTTTCTTTACGGACTAGCTACAGAACCTGCAGAATCGTCCAGACCCTTTAATCATTGGTGCAACGTTTCTTTTTTTTTCCTCCCACGTTGACCCTGGACGCCTGGATGCCTGGCCTCCTGCATGGCCTGGCATCCTGCATGACCAGCCTCTTTCGGTTTGCCTCGATGGGCGGACCTCGCTGCTCCGCTGCGTTCGGCCGGTGTAGGAACAGTCCGCCACGCAGAACGTCAGCACCAGCATGCGCATGGTCCGTGGCTCGTTCGCCGTGGGATCCGCTGAAGACCGGAAGGGGTGAAGTCCAGATCGAACTCAGCGAGACAGGAAGAGTGACATCCGCAAAGACCTGTCTGACTGTCTGACACCGAAGATTGCATCGACCATGTCTCGACCTGTCTCGCATCCTAGAAGTCGAGATGTACGGAGAAAATGGGCATTGCGGCATTGCTGATGTTGTAGGGTTGACCCGGTGTCACCTTAAGTACTTGGTTCCATACCAGGTATATACTACTTAATCTGTGGAGACAGACTCTCAAAGACTGGGAAAAAGACGAGGTGTAGTGATGAAGCAAAAAGACAGGTTCTATAGTATAAGCCTACCAGGGGCCCTCAAAACCATGAACAACAAAGGTTTTCATATACAAAAACCATGTGTTTTGCTAGGGAAAACCATGTGACTTGGATGGTTTGGGGGGGCCCCTGGTATAAGCTGCCATGCCGATTCAGAACTGATTCCTCGTTGTTGCTTTTCAATTGGTTTCCCCATTCGTGCCGTGTGTCAGCGGTACATGTTTGTTCACTCTGTGAGGAGAGAACAACATGGACAACATGTTGCTACCCAAATCGGCTTACTGCGGGTGCAAACATGAATGAAGTCGATCGCTACGGCGGTGTCACAAGATTGCATGTGAATGAGATTACCCTAGGCTTCCAACCACCATTAATTTAATAGGCTTTACCGAATCATTTTCCACTACAAAATAACCAGGCCAACAATTTGTTTAATGGTCCTGGAAGTCTAGGGATTAGACATTATTAGACCCTAGGGCCCTCGGGATCCAAGTACCTTCTCAGAATGTGAGGATGGAGACATATGTATCGGTGCCAGGAGGGTCCAGTCGTACCTTCTGAGAAGGTACTTGGATCCCTAGGAGTAGTTCACTGAGGTTCTCTAGTGTTCATCTTGTGGGTCTTGTGAGATTGCACTCAGTACCATGATGCAATCTGAGTTCATCTCTTCTCATATTTCATCTCTTTTGGGTCTTGTGGGTCTCTTGTTCATCTCTTCTCTAGTGTTCATCTTGGAGATGGGCATTTCAAGATCCTTTGGACTTCAACGCTGTGACCGTGGAGACAACTCCTCCGCGCCTTTTGTTCGGTGTCCGCCGATCGGTCCGGGGACCGACACCGGATCGCGCAGAGCCGAGGAATTCTGCGGGTGGCCAAGATCACTCGCGCGATCCGAGTGGTGCGTTTGGTCAAGTTCATTCGCTCATTGCAGCCTGTCACTGTGAGGGGATGGCTGGTTGCAGGAGTGAAGAAGCAGGTTGTTTCACTGGCGAAATCACTTGGAGGTGGGGAAGGAAGCTGCCAGGTCACTTTCGGAAGAACCATTTCCCTGAGCCTTTGGGGCTCCCATCCATGGCTCGGAGTGCAACGTCCAGAGACGTCTAACCCATGCGAAGGCTCGAAGGCTTGCTCGGGTCAGGCCAGGAGGCCAGGCAAACTGCAATGCAAACATCCCCTGGACCCGACATGACAACAACAAATACAGCGTACGACATCGTCCCCCATGTCCTGAGGTACGAACGAAAAACGGGGCAACTCTGGTGAACCCTGGATCCTCCAGGCCCGCACCAGGACCTCTCAGCCGGTTCGTTTTTTTTGTGCCAACAGCAGAAACAGCAGCCAACTGTTTCGTGATTTGGGGATAGGTTTATGTTCAACCGACCCATGTTTCTGGCTCACTTGAAACCACCAACCCGATTTTTCAGTGCGGTGCCCAGAGTCGATTGTTAGCATCCACTGTGTTCCCAGAGTGACTGGGATCCCCTGGGAAGTGTTTTACATTTCCCTGGCTCCGTTTTGAACACTTGTTTAATGTCCCGGCTGATTTAAACTCGGGACGATCTGATCGTAATGTTGTTTCGTGTCAGACGCCCAGCAACCTCTTATTGGATGTTGATGGATCGTGTGGAAAAGACAAAAGACAAGACTTCTCAGAAGCAACCTTGCGCCGCATTGCCAAGTGCCTGCTTGGGTGAGTGAGGAAGAAGCAGTACTCAGGTCGACCTGACTCAAGATTCAGTGTGAAAGTAGTTGCCAGATCCAACAGATCCAACTTCCTGTTGCGTTTCACCATTTTTTCTTTCGCCCCCCCCACGGTATTGCATGCATGTATGTCGAAGGGTTGATGGTTTTTCCGGTCGGACCGGTCGGAAGTTCCGAGGGTTCGGATCACCTGCGAAGAGTTCGGATCAATTGGTGTCCCAGCCCATGAACCCGTCCAAGTACCGAACCTGAGAAGGTGGGACTGGGGTGGGTGCCAGGAGGGTCTAGTCATACCTTCTGAGGAGGTACTTGGAGGTGTAGGGGAATAGCAAGAGGTGGACACTGAGGGAATCAGTGGTTTTTACAAAGTCAAGACTCTAGAAGCATGCGAAACAAGGGGCTGGGCAGGGGAGAGAGACAAGGAAACCATGAAAGTTTCAGACCCAACCAGGACAGAGAGATCATGAGAACCACACCCCAACACACCAGTTCTACGTACTATAGTTTGGACAACCGGTTCAACGATGTTCAAAGCAACTCAACGTCCTCGCCATCCATGCTGCTCTCTCAGGAAGACTTTGCTGTATTGTATTGGGCGGACGTTGCGTGCGATGGCCTGGTCGGGAGTTCTCCTGATCATGATCATTTTCCTGTACCTTGGCTTCACATGCAGCTCAATTGGGATGGCTGCTTCTGGTCGGGTGCTCCCAGCTCAGGAAACTCACCCTTTAAACATTACCCAGTCCCACCTTCTCGAGTGGTGGTAGATTGAAACCGGAACCATTAGGGCATTGAACAATATCCCATGTTTGATACCGACGGAGGTGCTTTAAGGGTCCAACTGGCCAAGGCTACCTTAACCAGCTTTCACCAGCACGGATTCCGGGTGTCCACTAATAGCCCCGCAAAGAGGTCGGGGCGTCCAGGCAGTGGTGGTTCTTCTTTTTTCTTCAAGGCAACTCCCAGCTTCTTCAGTTCGCGACCTCTTTGGATTGCCAGCCAGTGACCTTTTACAGGCCCAAACTGACCGAACCAACTGGGATATCAAGTTCAGTCACTTTGAAGAACCAGCTCATTGACCTTTCAGGTGTCCAGGTGTGCCGCGTTGACTAGACCGTCGATTGATCCTGCGGACGCCACTCCTGACCTTTTTCGGACGAACAACAGCCTGAGCGAGCTTCCAAGAGAGGTATCCAGGGAGCTGAACTAGGACCTGTCACCTGGGGTACCCAACTGGGATCGTCGAATTTTGAACTAGGGTTCTGACCCACCTCTGTTGCTTTGTAGGCGAATCTATTCAATCCTACCTACAGACGGATGCCTGCGGAGTTGCTGTCTTGGGGTATACGAGACGGTCCTGGGAGTCAGTCCGTGCGGCTGTCCAGACTGCTTTCAAGTCTTTTGGTACATGGACCTAACGAACCTGAGTGGGCCGGGATAGAAGAAGATGAACAAGGCAGCTCGAAGAGGAATAGCCCACAAAAGCTCCCGGTAGTAGTTATTGTTATGTCATCATGTTGTATCATTGTTATCAGATCAGTGATCATCCTAATATCAATCAACCTGATCACTGGCTCGCGAGTCAGGTTCCCGAGCTCGTCCTTCTTCAACGTTCCGTTCCTTTTTGCCTCTTCGAGTCCTCAGTCTTCAGCGGTTTCGAACGCCTCGTGAAAAGGGTGTCAATGTCTGTGAACGCCGAACGTGCCGCGCGTTTTCTCACCCATACACTCCATGGGACTGCCATATATGCCGATCAATTGACCCCCAGTCAACCACCCCAACTGATCGGCAGTCCTATGGCAGTCCCATGGAGTGTCTGGGTCAGGTTCAGCTTGATCTTCACCGACATTTGCACGGAGTGGCGAGTCGATGAGGTCAATGCCACCGAGGAGCGAGATTTCGGAGCGTCGGATCGCGGAGCGTTTGGGAGATCAGTGAAGCTCTGCTGGTGACGGTGGTCTTGACGGTGCATGGGGTGGGTGCGACCAGATCAGGAAAAAACACCTGAAACAAAAGAGGCTTTGATATACTGTCGGTGTGTATTTTGTTGGGGGAGACCCCCAACCAAATGCTTTTGGTCTATGTCAGTTCCTTCTTCCAGGAGGTCTTTGGGGGGTCTCCCTATTTAAATACACACTCATTTGGCTTGATGATGCCATGTTTGACTTGGAACGGGGGGTGAGAAGATGAGATGAACTGTTGGCTGGTGAGACCAGCTTGTCAATGTCTGTATAATATATATATATATATACTAGGCTTCAACGGCTAAGTTTAACTTGGACGTTATCGATGCACAAGTTTAACCAAGCAAACTTGTACGTTCTGCTATGCACAAGTTTAACCAAGCATGAATGGCTCAAAATAGATCTGTGGTGGAACAACCACAATTTTGTGGTTGTCGTTTCAGACATGTTGGGATCAATACAAGTCTTATGTCGAAAATGACAATTTTCATGATCTCATATCTGAGATGTCACTTGACTGAAAGAATGTATTGTCATACCAGACCGGGAAGGATGAGGCTTTATGAAGATCTCATTGAACATCATAGAGCACTTGGACACATGAAAAAAGGGGTAGCGTGAAATAGTGTGAAATAGGCGTGAAGTAGCGTGAATGCACAAGTTTACCCGTGAATGCACAGGTTTACCCGTGAAATTGGACCCTATATGTTTCATGTTTTTGTTTCATGATACATGTGTGATCGTTTTTGCTATTGCATGTAGAGTACTGAAGAGGTTTGGAGTGGCACACCAGACAAACACCAAAGTCGAAGGAAATGCGGGAGTATGTCTCTGAGATTTTATGTCTCATCTCTGAGTTTCTGAAATAATATTGTTGAAACGAAGGTCCTGGACTGATGTTGAAAGGTTTATTTAAAACGGGTTCAGAAACAACCAAACTGAGCACAGGGTAAACTTAGGCGAGACGAAATGTCTTGAGTAAACTCCGACGTGGGTAAGCGCACAAGTTTACTAGAGACGTTTGAAGTTGAGGGTATATATTTATATATCCCAGACATTGACCCCCGAAACCACCCCAATGTAGGCATATATGGCGCACATGGAGTGTCTGGGTATATATATATATATATATACATATATACGCATGTCCTCTCTCCAGGGTCACTTTCCTGCCCACCACACCCAATTCCGCTGCAATCAGCCCATCCCACGCTTTTCCCCGGCGTCGTGTCCTATACCTTATTGTTTCCACCCAAAACCACCGACCTCGAACCTCGAAACCTCGAAACCTCGAGCCCGAACCCCGAGGATCGGGGTGCACCGATCGGATCAGGACCCAGCGACGTGGAAAATCGTGACGGAACGCTTCGGGACCTTGGGCCTCTCTTGGCACACCTTGCCACTCTCCGGCAGTTTCACGGACGACAACCGCGTTCGTCACACACACGACACCGGGGACGTCCGTCACGTCGGACCTAGAAGGATTCACCGTGTCGAAGTAGAGGCTTATGTAATAATGGCAGGCGCCGGCGCCGGCGTGGCTGAGCGGGGCCCAGTCATTGACTCATTCAGGGTGTCTTTGTCTACCTACTACCAGCCCGAAGTCGGGGGGTCCAGGCAGTCGTGGGCATCTTAATATCACCCTACAAGTCAAAGATCTCATTTTACTGGGGATGGTCATACAACCAATATTTGAGGAGGTAAAAGACCAGGTTTTACTGGGTCTTTGGACTTGTAGGGTTACTTTACGCAGGTACGAAAGAAGCATGCAGCATAACAAGTAGCCAGGTGTCACCGGCCAAAACTTGGAACCTTGGAGCTTTCGGCAGGGCTGGATTTGGGGCTCCCAGACACGACTATTGGATTGGCCTATTCACATACAGTGGGGGATGGTTGAAAACGGGTCAGTTGATCGGCAATAAATTACCAGATCGAGGTTCAAGAACCCTATAGACTATCCCAGTTCTGTACCCCAGTAAGGTCCTAGTTCAGGTCACTGGATACCTCTCTTGGATATACCAGTCCCATTAGTCGTGCCTGGGATTGGTTTCTGTGCCTCAGGTATGCAGCGATTACAGGCCACCGGGCGCTCGGACGGGGCGGTTTCAGAAAGATCTGCGCCGGTTGAGGGCCGTGTTGACGGAACATGCCGGAGACTCCGTGCTTGGTTAGCCTACAACTATACCTTCTTTTCTGATGTGGGACAGCAGCCCAGTTTGGAGAGCTGATTCGGAAGCTGGTGAAGCTGATTCCGCTGCTGTAGCATCGTCACGAACATGGGCCAATTCGACGAAGGAAAGCCTATACTGAAGTATACTGAAGTATATACCAATGAAGTCATGTCATGTCATGTTCGGGTCATGTCATGTCCCATGACATGACCGGTAACCACCCGGTCCAGGTCCAGGTGTCGTCGGGCGTCGTCGGGTTCTCGGGTCGTTCGTCGCTCGAGGTGGCCTGACGTGGATCGAAGTGTCGGACGCCTTGGCCCGAATCTCGCCTCTGTGGCAGATGCTCTTTGAGGCGGGTGACCGGCCGAGCCGGCCTGTTCGGGTGACCGGTGGGGGGGTAGGAGCCAGTACGAGTGAGGCGGCCTAGCCTCTTTGGGTGACCGGTGGGGGGGGGTAGGATCCAGTACCTTCAGAACCTAAAACCTAAAAAAAAATAGGTTTTGAAAAATAGTCGGGTTATCTATAAGAAAACCGGGTTTTCCAAAAATTGAAAAAATCAATGGTTTCATCAACTTGCCATAAGACAATATCAATGTGCACCCAACACCCTTTTAAGCTGCCAGAAGCCCTGCGTCAACCCAATGCTTTCGCATTGCCTGAAGAACCCTATTGATCACTCTCAAAATCGCCGTTCGTGGTGAAACCCTCCTCGCTAGACGCGAGGGGCGAGATATGTAGTCCTCATTCATCTGATTGCTCCACGCGAGCGGGTTGAATGAGGGCCGACCAGAGCTGCTGCATGCTTGCATTTCCCATACCAAGTGGTCCATCGCATGGATTTTGGGCATCATTATGAAGAGTGCCCTGTTTGATCTGTGGGAATCTAGAGCAAGTTCAGCATACAATGACAAAAATCGCCTCCCCAACAAGCTCACGCGGGCACCCTCTGCAACTGTAAAAAATACATTCCCTTGGTACAGGCCGTCCAGAAACTGCTGCAAGATGTTTGCAGCCTCAACGCTCTTTTCAAGCAAAGGATGTCCTGTCAAGTCCACACATCTGCTCCAGTGTAGGAACCATTTGAGTAAAACAGTGCTGACATGTCCCTTTGACCATTGTCCGTTGGGATATGTACTCCTGTCTGGCCACCCGATGTTGTCTTTCGATATGCAGCTTATATAGCTGCTGGTTCGCGTAGCTTTACACCACATCATGTAATCAGCAGTCAGGGCATCAAACCGTTGGTCAATTTGGCCTCCCTGAAACAACTCACTTGCCTGGGCAATGCACGCGGCGACAAATGTCTTGGCGACACCAAGGTGAAACGCATGAAAAAAGTCGAACTCATACAGAGCAGGCAACATTCCGTCTTGGTGAGGGATTCTGTTCAAAGGGCTGTCGGCAACAAAGGGCAGGTCCTGATACATCGTTGGAAGCCATCGAGGAACAGGCGCAGCGAGATCTTCAAAAGGTGTCCCCAAACGACCAGCCTGGCAAAGGTGGCAGATCCCTTTGGGGATAGACCGCTCTGTGAGTGGTCGTTTTGGGATATTGCTGAATGACCTTTCCATGTAGCCTGCTTTCCGAATAAATTCCCAGTCACCACAAACGCCGACACAAGCCATCTTGAAAACTTCGCCGGTGTGTGGGGATGCCACTCCGTGTTCAATCATGTAGACCGCATCGTTTGAGATATGTGCAAGTACATCGCTGAAAGCCTTGTCATTGTTGGCATATATCTTGCGTGGCATAACAGCAGTAAGAAACCGTGACGTGTATGTGTGCCCGCGGTAGTTCAACTGGTGCTTTATGTAAGGTTTGGGGGCAGATGAGGTGGCCTGCTTTCTGACACCTGCTTCGATTCCCCTCCCCAGAATGGAGTGCCAGCTGCAAACTAAGAAGGGGCCGCGTTTGCGGCCCCTCCCCTCGTCACCGTGGACGATCATCCCAGCACATGTAGATAGGTCCAGCTTTCCGCTATCTGAGTACTTGAAAATCTCATGCTTTGGCCGAATCACTCGGAAGATGCGCCAGAACTCACTCCATATCTCCTTCTCTCGCTGTGGATCAGGCTTTCGAAGCCCTGCCAGCAAATGCCAACAGTTTTTCTGCAGCAAAAAACGTGCCCAATCTGTGAGGCTCAGGACGTGAAACTGTTCGTAATTGTCTCCACTTTCCCGCTCCAAAAGTTTCACCGGAATGGGCAGCATTAGCTTGTACCGCTTTGTAATCACGGTCGTGTCACGTTCAGAATGGTGCTCTGAGCATTTGGCCAAGTCCTTAAGGCCTCCTGAGCGTGCAGCCGCCTTAGGTCCAATGTCTGTGATGACATTCTTTGCAAACCTGATGGCTGAGCGGCAGGTGGCCTTGGCGAAACAAATCATCCAAAAGAATATGCTCGCTCAAAGCTGTTAGAATGATTTGGTCTGACTCTGATCCATGAAACATATACTATATATTTGAGGTATGAAGCGTATATTGGCTTCCACATCCTATGCATATATCGGTGACAATTCTGGTAAACAAGCACAGCACACATTGCCACACAAGAGCTTGCCAATGCTCAAGACTGCTTCTTGCTGCAACTTACACAACCGGCAAAATCAATTGAGAAATGCCAAAAAAGTAAACGTCTTTCTCCACACATGCCCCAGCATGCGAGGCACACCCCTTTCGCCTTGCTTTCAAGACGCAAATTCAAGATCCTAAACAAACCTCGCTTCAAGTTGGTTTGTACTTGAAGGACCTGTACACCACGTAAGTCACGTAAGAGCTATTTGGATCGCACTGTGTTTGTTCAGTGTTCACATTATCTCCACCCAGTCGTATGTTTCGACATCCAGGCTCACCTTCAGCACAGGGAGTCCGAATGCAATTTTCTCTTCAAATCTGCACAAGCACTATATAAGAAGACATTCGATCAACCCAACCGTTTGCAGTCTTGCAACCGAGAATCTCCCGTACTTCTCGATAAGAGCTGCTTCCAGCATTGCTGGCGAAAAGGGTTCCCTGGACTTGTAGAGACACACCATTCCTCCCCACCTTTCCACTCCACGCGAGTAACCGTACAACCCATTCGACCATCTCCAGACTGGGTCATGAGTAAACCCAATTTTGAAAATCATTGGAGCCCATTGTTCAAACAAAGCATCAACGCACTGAATCGCATGTCGCAGAACTGCTCCTGCAACAGCTTCCGCCTTTGGAAGCTTCCAACGGATGGGATACCCGCTGTCATCAACCTGTCGTGAAAACCTGTAGGCAGGTGAAGCCACTTTCTGTGGTTTGGAACATGGCACATGTCTCGGTTTGATCTCTCGCGAGGATTGTCTAGCCAACTTTCGCCAAGGAAAAGGGCATTCAGCTTCCTGGCCAAACAAAAACTGGACAAAGGAAATGCAAAGCACACTCAAACAATTCTGAATGTTTTTTGGTTTGTTGCCAGTTTGCCAAGTTTCATTGCGGTGACAAGTAAGTAGGTCCCATAGTTCTTCATCGGGGCTCTCCGCATGAGTCCCATTGCTCATTGTATAGAATTTATATATAAAAGTACGTGGCACTGTTTGTTCAGGAAAGAACACAAACATGTTCCCTTTTCTTTGGAGTCCTATATATATCCAGTCCTGTTCTCATGATATTCTGTGGCTCGTATTGAATATACAAACATCAAATGACTGCGGTGCACTCGCTCAGTTGTATATGCAGCAACATTGACATAGATCGCCCTTCTGCAAGGTTGAGGGTCAGACGCCTTCACCAATCTCTCCAATCAACCCTCGAAGGGCCGCCCCTGCACCTGGCACAACCACAAACTTCACAATTGTATAGGATCGACTGATCAAATGTGCAAAAGGAGAAGCTTGCAAAAAATGCTTTTGCACACCAAAGGGGATCTCACATCTCTCTCGTGCAAAGAAATGGTAGACTTGGCACGCACGCACTCCAACAAGTTCTTTGGCCAGCTATATAGCTGTCAAAAAAGAATGGTGTATAGTCTATACATTCCTGTATTTGTGCGGGCGTGTACATCATTATATGAATTATGCATCGACCATCGGTCTGCAACACCCCAACGAAGCAATCTTCAAAATGTACATATTTACTCTTTCTTTCGCCTTTTAGACGAAGTGTCTGATCCCTCTGGCTTGCCTTTGGCTTTGGCACCGGGTTTCCTTTTGGGGGCTACTGAATCTCCAGTCTCAGTCTTAGTCAGCTTATTCATGTACTTCTTGGCAGCCCTGGCGTGGAGTGAAACGGGCGGGACCGAATGTGTAAACATGGAACTACACGTCGCCTTACTTTGCTCTCTACGGCTAAGGCCTTGGAACACCTGGGTTGGTTGACTGCAAGAGTTCATGAACATGAAGACCAGTGCATACGCAACATGAACCTCCTTGCAGAGGGCCGAACACCCACGTCGCAGCTTTCATGGCTTCCGTTGACTTGGATGTCCACCTTATATACATTTTATTCAACCATGCAGACCAAAGTGCCAAAACAAACAAACGAATTGAAACGTGACTCGACATTCAAGCATCCTCAACATGTCTTGGGAAAAGGACTCTGCAGGAAAACCGTTTGACTCCCCGCTGGCCAAGCAGTCGTTGAGTTTGTCATACTGCTCGTCCATTAGCTGCAAGTGCCTTTGAAGGTCTCCACACGCCCTAAGCTCCACACAAAACGATTGTAGGCTTTGACCCCACGATTCATTGAGGACTGGATTGAGGACAGGGCTTCGTCGCGTCTTCAGACCTGTAGCCGCCAAGATCGCGAAGGAGGGATCTGAGCTTGCCGGATTTGGCCAGCATGGATTCCATAAACTTCGTCAAAGTCTCCTTGCCCTGCGCGGCCTCAATTATATTCAACTGGTTTTGGAATGGCCTTAACAAACTCTGCTTCACAAGGCATGTACATGAGGTTGCTGTCAAGACAAGAAGGCCTGTACTTCCTGTTTGGTATCACTCTTGGCTTTTTTCGCAGCTTCATCACGCTGCACCATTTGATCAACACCATCGAAAGCATTGTTTGGTACAGCTGGGCCCTCTGACACCTCGCAAGCCGAGCAAGAGAAGATGTGTTGAAAGAAGGAAACACATAAGAAACATACAAAAACAAAAGTTGAAAGAACCTTCATAAGTCATAAGAGGACAATACAATCGACAGCCTGTTTGCGTCCCCTGTGGATTTCCTCGTGCTTTTGTTGGTCCTCCTTCTGTCCACGCTCACGCACCGTAATCCAGTACTCCAATTCATTGTCATAGCGGTTCCTCCTTGAATGTGCATCACAAATTTTACAGCCGAGACATGTTCAATATGTTCATGTGTCATCATCTTTCCATAACTGGGAGCCCT